AAACAAGCTGATGCTGACCTGCAGCAGGAGGAGGAGGAGGAGGAACAGGCCGGAGGAGCTGCTGCTCGACATGAGGAGGTGCGGGCAGCTGAGGAGGCCCCTCTTCTAAACAAGCTGATGCTGACCTGCAGCAGGAGGAGGAGGAGGAGGAACAGGCCGGAGGAGCTGCTGCTCGACATGAGGAGGTGCGGGCAGCTGAGGAGGCCCCTCTTCTTTTGGGAGACCTGCTGCATTGCCACCTCCTCTTGAATCATCCCTTGTTGACCCTCCACACTAAAATCTTGACTCCCAATTTTATCCTCTGCTAGCGGTCATTATTACTGTCGTCGTTGTTGTTGTTGTTGTAGTTTTTTTTTTTTTACCCAAAATAAACCATGTACTTGGTATGAGCCTGGCTATTTTTAGTAGCGTAGTAACCGTTTCCTATGTCCTCATTCGGTGTTCTGTTTGGTGGTTGAAGAAGATATCTTGAGATGATTTTTTTTGCATCATCATTTGAAGCAGAGAGACACTATTGCTGCACGGTGATGATTTTTTGCATAAAATTGGACACAGCATGAGCGTTCTGTCCCTTGTATATTTAGACTCCAAGATTCTACTAGCTATAGACTACTTCAAAATAAAAAAACAAATAAATTTGAAATGATCACCTACACTTTTTACCGGCTTTTTCCTTGATATCCCGTATGTTTTCGGTGCGCTAACTCCTGTATATATAAATCCGTAACAACTTTCTCGCATTTCACTGTCATCGTCGTAGTCGCCCGTTGTAACTAGACGAAGTCGATGAAATCAAGACCAGCTTCATCTCCAGGGGACATGAACGTTATTATAATAGTGACTACGGATAGGTATGATGTTCTGAGTTGTGAGGCTAATTAAGATTACGTCACCTGATCTTGTCAATGTTAGGTACAAAGGGGGGAGGGACATTAGTCGTAAAAATGTCACCGTCGTATAATTACGGGAGACACTAATAATTGGAGGACGAGAACTCAACTTGAATTAAATTAAAAAGAAACGAAATTGAAAGAAAAAAAAAGAAGTCAAGTGGGACGCAAGTTGCAAAGGGCACATGGGTTTTTTTTTTTTTTCTGCGTAGTACCGAACTGCTGCGTCTCCGTGCACAGAATTTTCAACTTTGGCATCAAAAATCTGTGGATATTTATTAATCTTTTATCTCCGTTTGGTGTGCAGGTAAGTTCACGCGTTTCTGCTCCTCGACTTCAGTTTTGTGATGCAATCAGTGAACGACAATGATAAGGCCGTACAAGAACAAATGTGTCAATCCCGAGTCCAGATTCCTGGCAGAACCAACATTCTGGAAATATTTTGATTCTGGCCTGTTTATTTGAATTATGCGTTACTTGTATTTTTATTGGTTTATTTTGTAAGGAATATATTTTTCTCATTTAGTTGATTATAAGAAAATATCAGAGAAGACAAGTCCGTCCTTACAGATAAAAAGAAATATATATATATATATATATATATATATCATACACAGCGAACCTAGTCACCATTACAGGTCTACAAGCTATTAAAGCTTGGAGATGATGAGCTAAACTTGAAACAAATAAAGTCCCTCCAGTTACTAGACCTTGTGATGACTGAGGATTATTTTTTTTATATTATAACGTGCTCCTGCAAGAAGGAACAAAACCTAGATTCACGTCATGCCATGATGTCAATTTTAGAGAACCCGCTTTAAATTCACGGCCAGTAAAACTTGAACCTGGGTTGCTCTGATCCCATATTAAGGTCCATCTAATACAAAAACTCTAAAGTTACTCTGAGGGTTGAATATTATATTTTTATATTCTAATACTGCTTATACTTCTTTATTACTCTGCAACCATATCTTGAAGGGTCAATCACCTCAGCTACAGGCACAATTATACAGTAAAGTACATTGGTGTATTCTAGTAATCAGTAATGGTGATGCTCTTCGTATTCGGCTAAGCTCGACACCCTTCTCAGAATCAAGTAAATTGATTGCATAATAACGTAATTTCGCAGGCGCATACTCAAACTAAGTTAAACCTAAGGCGCCTACCTAGTCAAATATTCCCCTAAAACTAGTCATAACGAGTTTGCATTTATAGATAGGCAAGAAATAAAGTCAGTACTAATTGCATTGCGCCCCCTGCCCCGAACGTATTCCCAATTCTATATCTAAAGAAACTAAACAATCGGCCAATTATTTTGCACGTGGTAATGTCATGTATCACAAAAGATCAATCATTTATAATAATAAAAAATAAAATAGAAAGAATGGCATTGAATGAAATTGACCAAGGCACACCAAATCCTAGTGACATCATCAGCACCAAAACCAACCGAGTGGCCTAACTATCTAAACTGGTAATCAATTCATATACAACCAGCAATAACAAGACAGTAATCTGGATCAGCTACATGAACCATATTCCTTTCATTTATGTGGGAAAAAAAAAACACGACACACATATCATTTCAGCCCCAAAACCTCTGAAATGGATTATACAAGCGATGAAAATAGGGTTCATGCCTTTTTTCGGTGAACCAATCAAGCGGCGCCTTATAAGTAACAGATGGCGGTTGGTTTCTGTCAACCTACAGTAAAAGAGCATTTGCCAAGTTCATCTGATGGCACTTGCAACCAAGTTAGCAGCGCCAACAAGGTAGCAACCCCAGAGATGCAATCCAACAGAGTATCCGAGGCCGAGGGTACAGCCAAATCCAGCAAGGGATCTAATCATCTCGCCTTGTTCAAGATCATCAACCGAACTATTTCGATAATAATTGTAGAGGGCAGGAGTCCAAGTTGCACTTGGGGATAGCTCACGGGGATCTCAATTGGCAATTTGCGAGATATTTGTCGGGCACTAGTTCGATTTGGCTTTTGAGTACGGTATCCACCTGGGAGATAGCGAAGGCCTTTGCTTTTATTTTTATTTTTTGCACTTTTTATCAGTCCAATTATGATAGGTTCCTAATGCATGATTGGTGTTTGGGTGGCAAAGAGGGGGGGTATCATCCTCTAAATAATCCCCCATAAGTTGAGCAAATATTGGTATTTTTCAAGTTCATGAGTTTTCATGGTGAAATTCAACCAGAAATGATGACAAAACTAAGAGTTCGCCACGAACAGTTGAGACAGTACACTACAGTAATCTAGATATTTCGTAAACTGGAAAAATCACGATAAAATAGGCTCTATTGATTGAATTTCTATTGTACATTGAATGGAAAAACAAACAAAAATGACAGCTCACTACCACACATAAACTGCTCTCATCGCAACAATAAATACAACACCAAAACAAATGGAAAACCTAAGGCCGAGAATTTTCAAAACATACAACAAAAGTAGACAAACAAGACAAATTAAAAAAAAAACATACCATGGGAACGAAAAAACTGGGGTGGAAATCTTGGAAAGCATATATGGTCAAAACTGAGACGCACACTCGGGACTGTATAAATCAAGATATCAAACGGTAGGCCCTGAAAATAAGCGCTTAAGGATTGGTCATATTTTCATATGACACGCATATGGATCAAAGTAATTTATGATGCAAATAATGAAACTCTTCAACTCATACCTTTGTAGGACAGCACAAAACGAGAACTGTAGATTCAATTGATCGATTATACCACCTTTGCCAATGCAGCTAATGCATTCGCATGTGGAGGCGAGAGAGCAGTTAGTATAGGTTGCATCTGCTGCCCATACGTTGATAGCAAGTGCGAAAATGTCATGCCAACTTGGGCTTTCACCTCATCACTCTCAGCAGAAGACACTGCGACTTGAGCAAAAACATGGACCAGGTCGGGTACTAGAGCAAGAATCTGTTTCAAATTCAAAATATCAGCCATGAGATGGTGTAAAACCAACGCTCCATTCAGTTAAAATCCCCAAATTTTGAAAATTCAAAGGCAAACTGTTACCTGGGGATTTGATGATAATATTAGATTAGAAATGCAATTGTAAACAGTCATAGACTCCTCGCGATCTTCTTTCAGTGGCAAAGATTTTAAAAATACAGGCAAGACCTGAAAATAGAACAACACATTGCTATCCAAAAACAAAGAGTAAAAAACTGGTCTGCGTAATTATTCGAGAAAGCAATGTAATTATTTTCGAAAAAGGAAAGAAATATGCAGATTTTGACCTGATTTAGAGGAATAGCCTGAGGTTGCACCATGATCATCCTAGCAATAGCACCAGCTGCATTATCTCTTACAGCAAAATCTGGTTCTGAGTCACCAAATAATGGATAAAGGGCACGGAGTATATCTCCATAATATCTGAATGTGATGAAAGTAGACATTGACAAGTAATGATGATTTGCATGAAATGCAGGTGCAAGAGGCTAGTAAAGCAAGCAAATGGAATTTAAGAACAAGTAACGAACTCAAACCCTACAAATTACAAAAACTTCAATGAGAAGGATACTTAAGGGTTGCTGTTCCGCCATTTTTGCAGATCTCACCAGCGCAGAATGCAGCATTTCGCCTATTTGTTGCTTCTGATGATGCAAGTTCCTTAAGTACCAAAGGCATCACTTTCTGAAAAATGAATTAATACACACATGAGATGAGATTAGCCCATGCAATAAAGATAGAATAGATATTCATAATTACTGGTTCTCAGAATAAACTCCTACATTCACATAACCAGAAATAGGAGCACCCATCCCCTGAGCAACTTCAGCCAGACAAGCAACCACCATTGTCCGGTCTTGTGGAGGACGTGGGACTCTCTGCAGTCAATGGTTCGGGTAAGGAAATTAACAGCAGCAAAGAATAAGTTGCTACTTCATTACATGGCATCTTCAATTTTTTTTTTCTTCCACTATAAAACCTGTATCAGATAACAAAATAGCTCACCGCAAATCTCATTAGGGGATCAAATAAACTAGCGAAAATAGGCTCAAAATCAGAACCCATTGCCTTAGCAAAAGCAGGAAGAATATCTGATACTGCATCCATGAGCACTTCATCATGATCAATATCACCTTCATCCATATCAGAATCGGAGTCCACTTGTTGACAGGTTGAATCTTCTCGCAGCAGGGCAAGAGTTGCCCCAGCAAGTTGAGGGATATCTGAAATAAGGTTTTACATATTTTTGTAATTTCAACTAAGACCTTCACTAAATTTTACGTATGCTATATTTTAGTATTGATACCATATCATTCAGAACTATGATAAGCACCAAAATAATGAAAAGTTTAAAATGAACATAAAAACACCAAGGAGTTGAGTAAATCCTTACAAGGCTGTAAAGCCATGTAACCACATTCCTGCACAATTTCTGCTACACTCGTGCATGCTGCAGCAACAACATCTTTGTCATCATCTTCAGTCATGGTCTTAATATAGATATTCAATGCAGTATCTGCATACAAAAATCAAATATAAGATAACTGAAGGAACAACAGCAAGAAAATTTAATAGGAGAAAGTCAAAAGACGTTTTACAAATCATCTTTGGAATATCTTTAACAAAGGACAAAAGGTAAGAATTAACTACCTAGAAATTCCTTCTGCTTCTCCAAAACATCCTGCATGGCCAATGCAACAAGGTCACTTAGTGACTAACACAGCATTCTTCAATGGTTACAGATGAATGAAAAAATTTTAAGAGCACATAGTAACTGTGAAGTCATATAGCATTCTTAGACAGCAAGGTGACAGTCACTCAGTATGTCATAAATCAGTAACCTGAACACAACTCGAATGGTATTTTCCAGGATGTGGTTTTCAGTGGATCACAATGGCAACTTTGTTTTGCAATTCATACCAACTAGTACCTATTAGTGAGTCTGAGAAACCAAAAGGGTTAATTTCCTTCTTTCAATAAACAAAGGGATGATATTTTCTTTAGAAAAAAGAAAATGAAAGTGAATACGCATTCTCGCCACAACAACAATGCCCTTGCCATATGATGAATACAGTATTATTTCTCGAGGAAAAAAAAAAGAAAAGAAAGAAGAAGAAAAGCTTTTTAAGCATTCTCTATCATGGGTACAAATTTACTTTCACCAGAATTCAGCCAAGAACAGCTCCGTCTGACTTATTTAAATGTGAAGGATTCAGTCGCAAATTTCATAAAGAATAATAAAATAGGATATATGCACTCACATTGCTTACTGCAGGAATAGCTCGTACTGCTGTCAGAACATCTGAAATAAACATATAAAACATTACATTAGAATGGAATCATAAAAGATGAATAGGGAAACAGGTAAAAGACAGAAGACTAACAGTGATATTACATGCCTTTGATGTTTGCTCAGGTCAGGTGTTACTGGAACCATCTAACAACACATGCAACTAAACTACCTAATTGTTTCTTTTCTAAAACCCACAACATTAACTCAACACCTTTTCATCACCCCCATCAACTTCTCCAAATCAACGGAAACCGTGTAAATCTTTTTTTCTTTGCCCAACACCTCATCAGCTTCTCTTAGCAAGTATCTCCTACATCCAACCTCTCTGACAAAATACTAGGGGAGGCATTTAGCCTGAAACCAGTCAACTATCAGAAAGCGAGAATTGTTCAACCAGCCAAGGTTTGATCCTGACCAAACTGAGATCAATCTGATCAACCTTGCTCAATTACTTGAAAAGCTCAAACTTTGTTAAGCTTGGCTCTTTTAGGTATTGGACTACCCTCGAACTTTTATCAAATCGAGCCTTAAGCTTCCCAAGTCCATTTACTGACCTAGTTGAAGGAGGAGAGCCTACTTACAAATCCTTTAGTTTAAGCTTGTGCAGTCAAGGAGCAAGCATCCAAAATTTATTAGAGGCGGCAGAAAAAGACTAGAAGGGAAGTTTTGCATAATATAGTAAAACAATGAAACAATACAATCATCAGCAAGACAAAACACTAAAGAACCTTTGCCCATGTTTTTCACTCACTCTACTGGTGTATAGGTTATAGATGTTCGCAAGTGTTGAGTAAGAGAAATTCAGGATAAAATGGCACAGTAAGCAAGTGCTAAGAAAATTATTATAGTACTTATTTTTTTGAGGTTGAAGCAATATAGTACATTAGTACATGAAACTTTTAAACTTCACTAAAGGAAGCAAACTTAATGCCTCACATAACTAATTTTCATTTAAATATGGGCTAATTTTCAGGAAATCAGTCGCCTCCAACAGAATATGGATATATCTAACCATAAAGTATAAAATTTCATTCATAATACTCACTTCTCAAAGCTGTGATAGCCTGAAGTCGAACATCTTCATGAAAATATCCAGAATGTCGAACTAAAATCCTCATGGATTCCTCCAAATAGCTTAAAATAATTAAGAAATATTTAGTTAGAATGTCAAGAAGAGAGTACAATCAACACCACAGGTTGAAAGGATACGGTGCATAAGAACCCTTCGTATGAAGGGCAAATAAGCCAATAGCTTGGGTTGCGGCAGCCTTTTCATCCAAAACCCCTGTCCTTACGCTTATATTACGAACCCTCGGCTCATCATGTGTATCTTCATCCGAAGATACTCCTCCGAACCCATTATCAATACTGTCAGCATCATCAATGTCTATTGCAGATCCATCATCAAGGTTGCAGGAAGAAAACACCAGAGGAACAACATGTGAAAGATACTGTTTTATAGAAAATGCTTTCAGTAAGTAAATTATATGAATGAAGAATGATGAAAAATTCTAGGCACAAGACAATAGCACCTGTGTAAAACCATCATCCAAAATTTCAGCAATATTGCTGAAGAATCCATGAGTATATTCACGAAGCTCGCTGAAGTCTAATGCAAAACCCTGGAAATATTGATTTAAGCCACATAATTTTATATACTGCAAAACCAAACAACAAACTATATGCAACTCAACTCACAGAAATTGCAGCTTCAATGAAAGGAGGCAGAATAGGCTCCATCCTTGTTCGTCCGACTGCCATTGCAACTATTCCAACTAACTCAGTGGCCCTGGCTCGTGAGACCAAATCCTCATCATTCGTGAGCATCATAAAACTTTTCATCATTTCAAGAACTTTCTCTGCATATGGAATAAAAGACTGCTCTGCTGCTGCTGCGACTGAGCCTATTGCAGACTGCAGCCAAATGCAATTGGTCAGAGAGGAATTATTAGGAAAGCAATGACAGAAAATATACCACTCCATACAAGGAGCTTACTGAAAGACACAAATACGTTACCATGCAAGTTTCTTGCAGATTACGAGGACTGCTCTGGAGTGCTCCAAATAATCTTCCCATCAGGGGATCAAGAAAAGGAAGGATTTCTTCTCCCATGTCCTCACAAAATGCTGCCAGTGCGTAGTATGACTTTTCCTGCAATAGCAAGAACCTAGCAATGTAATGACTTGACAACACAAAAAGGTTGTTACACAAATACGAGAAATGGTACCTTCACTTCATCTGAAACATCTTCAAGGGCATTTAGAATACAGGGGAGTACGCTTTGGTAGTGGGATATAATCTCAGGTTGCAAATATTCTGCAAACTGACCCAATGCAAATGAAGCAGCTCCTCTTACCATCTGTTCCTGATCTGTTAGTGCTGCCAATGTGATGTGTAGAACATTCTCCAGCCTACCTTTCAACATCTCATAACAACCTTCTGATATTACACCCAGTGCCGTAACAGAAGCCTCTCGAAATTTAGGGTTAACATGACGAAAGTTTGCAGAAGCAAACTCAAAAACTGGTGGAAATACATGTTTTGGTAGATTAAGAGCCATGGTATCAATGACTTCTGCAGCAGCTCGATCAGATGCAAGATCAGAATCGTCATCTCCTGGTGCTGTCTCTGTAAGCAAAGGACACATAACTTGCAGTATGGGTATTACTAGCTTGTGCTTTTTCAGAAAAGAAGCCTTGTATTTTGCAAGCCATGAAACTATCTGAATAGCCTGAAATTATTAACAAAACAAGCTCAGAAACAGGTGAATTGATTTCAAAATTGCGAGAAAAAACATGACGCCAAAAAAAGGACAGAAAATCCATGAACAAGATTTCGACTTCTTCAAACCTGATGTCGAATATTTAATTCCAAATTCTGACTAGAAGACACTTCAAGAGAAAATTGCACGATGGATCGTACGGCATCCCCAAGAAGCGGAGCTGGAGATTCAATAAGCTCATCAAAGATCTCAAAAGCGATAGAAGCAACATCTTCATCACCATTAGCAAGGCATTGTCGTGATACATTCAAAATGCTAGGAATAAATTCTCGAAACAGCTTTACCTACAAAAGAATGTTAGATATCGTGTTAAACAGAACATAATGATAAAAGGACAAGTTGCTTGATATACATTATCGGACACACTTGTCAACTTAATTTTTTTGTTAAGTGGTTATTTAATAAGGCAGCATAATCAAAGCTATTTGTATTGTCCGAATTCATTCTCAACTTCCAAGCAAGCCCTCTTTCCATCAGAGGTCAACCACATGGTCTAGGGGCGCACAAACCATCAGCTTTGTACTGTTGAGTTGCTTGATATACATCATTGACCCACAATTTATCGGCTTAAGTTTGTGGGTGAAACGTTGATCAAGCAATCAACATCAATTAAACCTTTTCCAATCAAAATAAAATCAGACAAGCATAATACTGTTTTGAAATAAATGACTTCAAAGAACTTATCATTCTACATCAACACTTAGAATTTAGCAGGTAATGACAAATCTTGAAGAATAGGGAGCATGATGATGATGTCATCCTTAAAGTTATGGATTGAATACCCAATAGTATATTTCCTTCAATACTTCTCAGCAACAGAGCAAAATATGGTACGATGTCATACAATGGTCTATAATTTTTCCATGTCAAATTCAATATTCTACATGGTAAATTAAAGAACACTTAGAACAACTTATCCTATGTAACTGTTTTATAAGAGATAGTCATGGCAATGGATAGTAATTAGTAACCATTAGCCTCCAAATAGCCTCAACGTGTATCATTTAAATTATATAAAACATAATGAGGAAAAAGATATGAACAAATCAAATCATATGACACTACAGATTGCAAACTTACAATGTCAGCACCATCATTGATGAACTCTATAAATGAGCCAACAGCCCTAATAAAGGAGAAAAAAGTGGGTTAAAAAATATTCCAAAAAATAATATGCATAAAATGAAATATAAGAATTAAATCACACTGCAAAAGAAAATTACACACTTCAGAGCAGCAACTCTGACACGGGTGCTGGCCTCGTCTTGCAAACATTTTAGTAGAATAGGTTGTAGATCTGCCAAGTGGGATTGAAAGGTAGACCCAATTGTTTCAGTTAGAGAGCTGAAAAGGATTAGAGCCACCTAGCAAACAATGTTGAAAAATAAGCATTCAGCGGTATACAGTTACAAACTCAGACATTAATACAGCACAAGCAGAGAGAAGGGCTAATAGATCTTTTAGGAATAATAAGTAGTGAAGGAAACTGAAGCAAGAGGTTCCGCACCCATAAGGAGAAAAAATATGCCAGCATTGATAATGTCCCGGGATCTTATTTAGCATTCTAATTCTACTTTTAGCCATGGATCTGAAAGATATGCAGTAGTATAGAAGCAAGGTTACCCAGACACTTTGTTTTGGGTGCCACATCCATGTTGGGCACGTGTCGAACATGGATTCACCGCAGACACGGCATGGACACTTGACGTTCAAAGCAAAATCCGATTTCCTGATTACTTATAATCCTAAACTAGTTTCTTTAATTTATTAAGCTGAAAACCAATAGGTCTTTAAACTCGAAAATCAAAACCCCTTAAAGATATTTAAAATACATATCATATCCCATGCGATCAAAACTAAATGTTAAACCTTGATTCTTAAATGTCATAGATAGTAAAAGAAACATACAAATGTTATAAGTATTTTAATTCAATATTTGATCTCACACACACACACACACACACACACACACACACACACACACATATATATATATATATATTATATGTATACACACACACACACACACACACACACACACACACACACACACACATATTATATATATAATATATATATATATATAATATACTATAATTATAATATAATATAATATACACACACACACATATACACACAAGACTATACATATACTACTATACTACATCACATATACAATAATATATATATATATATATATATATATATATATATATATATATATATATAATATATATATATACATATGAGAAATATGAAGAAATTTGTACCAAGTTCTTTCATTGAACTTGGTAGTGAAGCTGGCCAAATCACCCCCTACATCACACCTCGAAGATGGAGCCTATTTTTAAAAGTAGGTGAGGCTCTCTCTTCAATGCGTGATTGTAGGGTGGGGATTTGGCCAACTCACTACCAAGTTCAATGGAGGAACCTTGGTGGACATCACTTAAGTTGATAGGCATTTGCTATATACATATATATATATATATATATATATATATATATATATATATATATACATATGTATATATATATATATATATATATACATATGTATATCTATGTATGTATATATATACATATGTATATATATGTATATGTACATATGTATATGTACATATGTATATGTATGTATATGTACATATGTATATATATATATATATATATATACATATGTATATCTATGTATGTATATATATACATATGTATATATATGTATATGTACATATGTATATGTACATATGTATATGTATGTATATGTACATATGTATATGTATGTATATGTACATATCTATATATATATGTATAATATATATCTATATATATGTATTTGTGTCCGCTCCCGGACCTATCAAGTGATTGACAAGAATCCAACTTATGCATGTCGCACGAAGGTTTGATATTGTACCTTAACATAACAACAGTTCTTTTTCTTTTTCTTTTGTTTCCTTGATATTCCGCACCCATAAGGAGAAAAAAAAAAGAAATAATATTCCAGCATTGATAATGTCCTGGGACCTTGTTTAGCATTCTAATTCAGATTGTAGCCATGGATTCGAAAGATATGCGGTAGTATAGAAGTGATTTGACAAGAGTCCAACTTATGTGTGTCGCGAGAAGGTTTGATACTGTGCCTTAACATAACAACAGTTCTTTTTTCCTTTCTTCTAAACAACAACAACAAAACTATTTGCCATTGAAAACTAGATAGGCATGAGAGAGACACACAAGGGCAAGTCAAATAATTGGTAAAAAAGTTGACACGTGATTTAATGGTGGTAAAGCATGTGACCAGTGACTTACTATTGATAATGCCAATAGGCCAACCCTTGATTCAAAAAAATTGAGCATTCAAATGACAACCATTTTTTCCTGTAGAATGGAGGTGATGCAGTCTGCTTTACCTACTGGCATGAACTATAAAGGTTAGCATCATAATCAGATTGACACTTAAAAGTTTTTCAGGCAAACAAATCAGGTCTATAGGAGGTGATGCAGTGTGTTTTGGCTCCTGGTATGAACTATGAAGCTTAGCATCATAATTAAATTGACACCTAAAATTTCTCAGGGTATTGTACCTTTGTAGGCAGCTGATTTGCTTGCCTCTCTGTAACTTCCCAGTTCCTAGATACCTGATTTGTTTGCCGGTAACCTTCAGTTTTTCACTTTAATTTATGGTAATGAAGTTACTTGTGTGTGACAATTAGATTAACCTCACAACTTTCATCCACTTATAATTGGCATCAGTACAATTGGTCTAATAAACAATATTAGATGACAAAATAGAACATTTTTTTAACCAAAGTATAAAGAGTTCCTAGATATGTGATCAAGGAAGCTGAAATGTCCAAAGATAAACTAATAAAAAGGGCCAATGAAGAGTGACACTAGAAGCCCATTTTCGATCGAACTATTCAAACAAAAGAAATATTTTTCACCTTCGAAGAAAAGACCATAATAATCTCACTTGTCAGATATTATGTTCAATGAATAAATGATTTAAGACCTTTGGTGCCTAACTTCATATCAGGAACCTAGTGCATAATTGAGATGACATCCCCCGCAACATATAACTCAGTCAACTTAAAGTTGATGTACTATCACATGAATTACCATCGATACATGACACAAACATTTTGAAATGTTGATGCAAAGGAAATAGGAAAAGAAAGCAAACAGAAGCAAAAACTGCAAAACAGACATGCTCGTACAGCATTCATGCATATGTATACTTGGCATGAGGGCAATAAATGATTTATATCATATACTCACTTCTCTATGATCTTCTTGTGAACTCTGGCTGCATTGAAAGAGGAAAGGCAAGAGATCAGGCCACTCCCCAGCAGGGACCGCATACTTTGCGATGATGCTCACAACATTTGCACTAGCGCGCCTAACTGGAGAGCTGTAGAAACATCAAATATTAAAGAACCATTCTACACTTTACTCATGGGATAGAGAAACATTCTAGCATCACTGGATACTGTCATCATCTAAGAAACGTCGAACATTGCTCTTATATTTTAGTTAATGTAACAGTAATATTCCTATTCATTTTCATAATTAGTACTTCACGGTCATCTTCAATCAAGATGTCATGCAAAAAATTATACTTTACTCACATTTTAGCAATGTTTAGTTGCTCTATAATTAATTACACACAATTTCTCAAAAACTTATCGATAAAACCAGCTACGGAAAGCAGCATTCAAGCACCAGCACGACCAATTTCGCTTCATACAATCACGATCAATTCAACAAACTATCGATGAACCAACGATCAAGAATCTCAGTTTTCGAGAGTGATCAATTCATAAAAACTACAATTTGCTCATATTTTACAGCGTTTGGTGACATTACAATGCACTCTACGATTGCGAATTCCATATCCTAAATGCTCCTAATCCAAGAAACAACTGATGAATCACCGACCGAATACCTGTGCTCTAGAGTGATAGACTCGATCAGGGCAGACTTGATGGAGCCCTTCACGATCGGCGAGAGCTTCGGCCAGTGACCAGTGATCTTCTTGCGGAGGAGGACGGCGGCGAGTTGCCGGACGTTGGAGGTCTTCGCCGTTCGCATGTGGTGGACGAGGGCGGGGATCGTCTGCGCGTCGTTGTCGGGCATCTGGAATTGGATCAGCAGGAGCTCGAGAGATTGCGCCATGGCGGAGTTTGGGGGCTAGATTAGGGTTTGGGTTTTGTTTTTGGTAAGCTAAAACCCTAATTTGATGACAGCGAGATTTCACTTTACCTGGTTTTGAAAGGGGTTTTTATACGTAGGAACTGATGTCTCCTGTCCTTCGATGATGATGATGGCGGGGTTTGGACTTCAATTGGGCTCGGCCCAATATTACTGAGATCCATCTGAAACTCTAAATATCCTCTCCTTTGGACTTGTTTAATTTATTTTAGTTATTTATCTCGCCAATTTATGTTTTGTGAAGGTGACTGTAACGTCTCGAACGCAGGAAAAATGTAAAACGGGTCCATTTGTAAATATTTGTTAACTCTACGGGTTGTAAAACATGTTAGCAATTGTATACACAGTAAATATTGCAAGAAATTCTCTCTCAAAAGCGTCATTTGGATATCTAAATTTGTATGGTAGGAAATACATTTCAAATCCAAATCCAATATTTCGTTATGTAACTGGATTTGCATATTTTGTTGTAAAAAATGTATTTCAAGCGTGTTATGTCAATAACTATTCTAAGTATAGATCATCCCTCTCGAGTCGACATGTGTCCTGAGTCAACACTAACTATTAGATGGACTCACCCTAGCTAGAGGTGACTCGGGTAACATGGGCATTCGTCCCTTCCCGAGTAGGGCCGAGTCGAGACAAGCTCCCACTCGAGCTGGGTTGACAACTTGTGAGGCCGACAAAAAAAAGCAATACCAATTGTCCAACTCGAAGAGCTGGATCGGAAGGCAGTTTGTCCTTGAACTCCTCACCAACGCCTGTCCATTATCATCATTGCACGCACGCACAAGTAATATGACTCATCACCATCCACGTCTCTTCAATCACCATCACACCAGATCGGTGGTGACTCATTGCGTCTACAGTCAAAACACATGTAAGTTATCTGTTGATGTAGTTGTCTGTCTGGACTCGGCCAGAGTTATGTTTCTACCCCTCTCTGCTGGGTATACACGTGGGCTCATTGCCTACCGAGCGAAGGGTCATACTTCGGGGCACCCCTTAGGGCCACAGATACACCTTTTCTGGCTAGATCAATCTGCACATTGACAACTTATTAATCACCTCGTTCGGTTCCCCACTCAAGCTCTATACTGACTTGACCCGTCGAAGGAATCATTGAAGAACCTAACTCCGATCATTTAACGTGCTTGGTTTTGCAACTCTATTATCCCAAACAGAGGATCGGCCGTCTAAAGAGACGAGGGGACCCACATCTTCCATATCTGCTTTAAGCCCCGTCACCAATTCAAGATTATTCTCTAATCTCGCTACGGAGTCCCGTGGCATGAGCAAGGTGCAACTCATGATCAGGTGTTTATTTATCCGAGGTTATAAAAGGATCTACATTTTCAGATTTTCTTCAACTAATTGATGTCCTGGCATTAATTTTAAAGTTTCGGATTTGATTCAACTAATGGATCAACGCTGCTGATGAATCTCAAAGCAAAATCCATTAGTTCGGTTATCTCTGTTAAATAATTTTAGTTAGGATATGTTGTTTTCCTTTATTTTAGTCACACGTCGTTTAGGATAGCAGAGAACTTTTACCATTGCTCCTGTAAGATATCAATTTTTCTCAAATCTCTGTGTATACGTGTCAAGCTCATGATCTTTTTTGTCCTCGATCAGTTGCTCATGCAACGAGTGCTTGAAGCTCTGACAACAGGGCCCCACATAAATAGCTAGGTGGACTTATGCGTGCATGAGCTCGAGATGCGCTGAGCTCCACAGCCACAGAGTTATATTCTGATTCCTTGAATATGACCACCAAATGCATGCATAGTACGAGAGAAAGTAGCTACGGAGGTGATATATATATAGTGCACGGAGACAACCCTTGACAAAATTAGCTAGCTAGTAGAACATCTAATGCAAAATTTACACTCTCGTAACCTTAAAGTTTACGACTTTTTATTGACTTTGCTAATGTTAACAAGTTTTACTGTCATTTGATATTTTGTTGACAGATTTTTTTTTTTTTTTTGTACCAAGCGATTATCACATGATTCGTTTAGGTTGGCTAGCTTATCTAGTAAAATGAGCTACTAATTAAGAGGGTAACGACGAGTCATATAAGGTCCCACGTCATTTTATCTAGCCAATACTAAAGTCTCAAAAAAAAAAAAAAGTAAGTTCCCACATCATGTCCCGATATCAATTATTTTGGTCCCCAGATTCTATTCTGGACTACACTTTGGATGCATCCTAAGGAGTAGTACGTACGTAGGCACTGCATAAAAAAAGTTTCTTCAAAATATATCGATTATAACATGTACATAATATGCTTGGAGTTGAGATATATCCAATTAGAGAATTATTCTGATCTCTGAAAGCCTTCGCCAAATTTGAGGATATTACGAGAAAATAGTAGCGGTTGCTAGGGCGCGCGTAGCGCATGGAGACAACTTGACAACTTGGCTATGCTAATTTCCTCAAGGTTTTTAAGTGGGAGTGTCAGAGTTTCTTCATCCCACCTGATATTGTTGCTACAATTGCTTCTTACTTTTTTAAATATAAAAGACTAAAATTGCTAATTTTGATAACCAACGTGTCTATGTACGAAATTTGACGAGTGAATAGAGTGAGATTCCACTTTATTAGCACCCCCCACCCCCCCCTTCTTTGAACATGTTTTTCTAACTTTATTTTGTGTAGCTTTGTTTGTTAGCTTTTCTAGCTATTTAATATTCTTAAAGTCTATGTCTCTGAAATCGTGATCGATGAGAGTTGAAAGTAGGGGTGCATTCCGTCCGGATACGGCTCGGACAAGATGCCTATCATATCCATACCCACTTACCCATCTCGGATACGGATACAGATACAGATATATCTCGGTAAGGAAAATTTATAACCATATCTACTAAAATCGGATACGGTTACGGATATACATGCGGATATGCATACAGATACAAAATAGATATGAAAAAAGTAGATAGTATTGAGAAAAATATAGTTTATGTGATACAAAAGATCGATCGAGTTCGTTGATATCTTCATTATAACTGAAAAGTTAAGATTAGACATCATGAACTTCAAAATTAACCATAAATCCATAATCTAAGAATCAAAACTATCGTAAGAGTATGACTAATATGTATTCAGATATTTCAGATACAGATACAGATATTTCACTACAAAACCATATCTGTAACCATATCCTAACGGTTATAGATTTGAGTAATAATATATGTATTCTAACGGATACGGTTACGGATTTTTCATCGGATACGGATAAGGTTTAGCACCCCTAGTTGAAAGTCATAATAATATATTCTAGCTAGTATGGTTAATGTACCGAACGTGTGACTAATAGTGATGCTAAGGCAAGCTCAATAAATACTCATCTCCCTCGATTTTAGACTCCATGCAGATAGAAAACTAAGAAAAAATTGGTTCAGTTTTAACCAGTAATTCATTTTATTGGTCATGGGAACCTCAACCTTTTTGGTCAAAAGAGTGGAGTAGCGCTAGCTGCAAAGGAGGCGCTATGCGCCACAACGTCTTTTTCTAGCAGACATTGCTTTAGCTTTTGTTGATCCCTTTTTTAACCATTTCTAGTTCCATACATACGTTTTTGTTATCGCATGCTAATCATGGCAAGTTTAGTAATTTTTGAAACGTATCATGATCACCTTCAAAATATATATAGTGTCGCCTTCGTTAATCTACAATCGATGCTGTTTATGGTGGATTCGGATCCTCTCCACTACAAAAAAAATAGTGGAGGGACCACTACATAATCACGGCCATTGATTATCTAGTTAATGGTTGTGATTTTTTTTTAGTGCAAATTAGGAATGAGTGCAATACACGGGGGTATGATAAGTGTTAGATTTAGATTGTATCATAACCGTCTACTAAATAATCAACGATTGAGATTAAAAGCAGTGGTCTCTCCACTACTTTTTTGTAGTGGAGAGGATCCAAATCCGTTTATGGTTCCCCCTCAAACCGGGGCTTAGTAGATGTGAAAGATCATAATATTCATCATGATATGAATTGAATGACTAATATTAGCTTCGTTCCTTTTACTAAACTTCCAAACATTATAATGTTCCCTCTCTTACCCTACCTTCTCTCTCCTATCCCACTGCCATCTTTTAATTTTCCCCTGTCGGTAAACTCCCAAGTTTCTCTTAATTTTCTCTATTAATTAGTGAGCTCTCAAACATGGCATAAGAGTTAAGACAGACAATGAAAATAATTAGACGAATAATGATTCACGAGCGCGGATATAATAAAAGGGTTAATTTCAGAACTTCAACTTGTGGTCCACTACCTTCGTTTTTTTACCTCTGAAACCTTCAACCTTTGGAATTATTGCATATAACCTCCTAATTTTTTATTCCACTATATTCTGAAAATATACTTTTTTATTCCACTGAGTACCGTCTGAAAAATATCTCTTTTGATTCTCCGGATTAGCACTGTTATACCGTACAAATAACTAAGCGTTAATCCTCGTTTCAGGAGATGGCACGTGTCACAAATTAACTATACGCTAATTCGACCCGACCCCATGAAGGCCGAGTCGAAAGGCGTCTTTTTATCGGATCTTGCTGCGAAGGCCAACTTTATGCATTTTCTCTTGGTGGATCGAGTCGAGAAGCGCCCTCATTCAGAGGAGCCAAATAGAAAGGTGTATCTTCTTGGGCCCCCACCCATCCCTGAAGAGTCGAAATGAAAGATAGTCTTTCTCGAACCCCTCAGTGACAGTCAGTCACCATCATATTAAAACTGCAAAGTCAAAGCCATCATTGCATCTCCTCCTGAGTCGTAAAGACTCATTAATGGAGCATGTTGGCGCCGCATCCCTTTTGTTGCTGCCACAATAACTGAGAGGATGCCTCGGATCGCCCAATGCCAACACCTGTAAAGTATTAGCTGAACAAGCCGGCTTACTTGGGCTCGGCCAGAGTTACTCAAATACCCTTCAGAATCTACTATAAATAGGCGCATTGCCTACCGCATGAATGTATGCAATTTTCGCACTATAACCTACAACACTCACATTTCCTTTCATCGACAAGAAGTTCTTTACTAACTTGACC